CTGCAGCACCAACAGCAGCACCGAGCTGCACCCAGCAGCACCCACTGCATCACGTACCCACTGCAGTTAAGCCCGTACGAGTCAGTGATGGCGGTGGCCCGTGCACTGGCTGCTGCGAGCACTACGAGCATGAAGATCTGTAGCGGGACACGCAAGGGGCGCAGTGGGAGCATTCATCGTTGTACAATATATTATTGAAGTCTAGTCTAGTATAGCATTATAGCCGCGGTCATGTGAAAGCTAGTTGCATGCTACGACCGTGAGCATGTGCTCATGTGCACGGACGACTCACGGACGACTCACTCACGTTGCTTTCAACGACCTGCAGCAGCAGGTTCACGGTTCACCCTGGTCGTGTGGAGGTAGAACGTGGCAGAGACGTAGCAGATACTATAATCTTCAGAGACACGATTCATGTTGACAGTTGAACTAATGCATGCACGGACGACTCACTCACGTTGCTTTCAACGACCTGCAGCAGCAGGTTCACCCTGGTGGTGTGGAGGTAGACGAAGCAGGAGGTGGGGATGTAACACAGTAACATGGCACTCGCGAACAGCCCTGCCATTCCCAGGGTGAGGTTGAGCAGAAGCGTTGGCGCTTGGCTCATTCGGTCGTCCAGCTTCACTGACAGCCTGATGGGGACGGGTGAGGAGGGATGAAGAGGGGTGAGGGGGGTGAGGAGTGAGGCGGAGTGAGGGGTAAGGAGGGGTGAGGAGCGGTGAGGGGATAGGTGGGTGAGGTGCGGGAAGGTGGGACAAAATACGTCTCAGAGCTTCTCTCAAGCGGTTTGCCACGGACACTTTGAAGGGGACGGACGGGTGCGTGAGCCGCGTTGGTGGGTGCACAGCAAGTGCAGAGATGAGGGAATTCAGTCATGTTGAACGGGGGAGCAAACAGAAGCACAGACCGAGGCACAGACCAAGGCACGGACTTAGGCACAGAATGAAGTACAGAACCTTGGTCCTACGGGAACTCGGACGTAGTTAGGATAACCCAGACCCTGACGCAGATATGTGCTTTTGACGGTGGTGACGGGGGTTGTTAACTTGAAGAGGTGGAGATGGTCGAGTGAGGAGGAGAGGAAACAGTAAGCAAAGAAGACCAGAGGAAATAGTAAGCAAAGAAGACCAGAGGAAATAGTAAGCAAAGAAGACCAGAGGAAATAGTAAGCAAAGAAGACCAGAGGAAATAGTAAGCAAAGAAGACCAGAGGAAATAGTAAGCAAAGAAGACCAGAGGAAATAGTAAGCAAAGAAGACCAGAGGAAATAGTAAGCAAAGAAGACCAGAGGAAATAGTAAGCAAAGAAGACCAGAGGAAATAGTAAGCAAAGAAGACCAGAGGAAATAGTAAGCAAAGAAGACCAGAGGAAATAGTAAGCAAAGAAGACCAGAGGAAATAGTAAGCAAAGAAGACCAGAGGAAATAGTAAGCAAAGAAGACCAGAGGAAATAGTAAGCAAAGAAGACCAGGTTCGAAGCCTTCACCCTATAGAGCCAACCGCGAACGCAATCTCCGCGATTCGCAAGCTGACGGGAATGATCTTTGATGGCGGATCCATGATGCGGCGGATACCGATGCGTCGCTAACGATGCCTCGCCTATTCCACCCTTCGTCTTCTTTCTGATGCTGTCCCTCTCCTGACGCTGTGACTCTTCCTTACTTTCCGCAGCCTCCTCCGGAAGTTGACTCTATTTCCTTTGAATTTCAGTCTGCGGTTCAGAATGTATACATTCGCCAAAGCAAGTGTGTATTAATCGTTGGTTCCAGCGCCGTAGTTGGGTGCTTAAAGGTTGCTGTCATGCTGCATGGGTGAAGTCGCACGAAGTTGCTCGAAGTCGCACGACCTCGCATGAAACACGACCCCAATGGCCCATAAGGGAGCTAAGAATATGTCATCGTGTCGAGCTCTTTGCGCCGCTGGGAGATACAGTGGATTCCGGTTAATACAAAATTCCTGGTAAATATTGGTATTAATCGGTTTAAACCGCGGAGTACTCGTGGGTACGGTGGGGAATGACCCTGGAAACACAGTTGAACGGGATGCTCGGTGCAAACGAAACCACCACGGAGCTATTTCTGTGGAAGGAGAGTGTGCGGCTACCATGGCGGCCATTTTAAGTTGCTTGCCCCACAGGGCTTGTGTGCGAGCAGCGAGATCGAAGAGACAGGGCGAAGAACGCGAATGCATTATACCTGGCCTGAACGCGAAATGAGCGGAGGGAAGATTGGTGCAATACGGCCAGCGCTCGAGAAGTTCAAGCAGAATCTGAATTATAGGAGGCCCAGGAATAACATACGCTTTACAAGTGGGAGGGGTGGGGGTGCGGGTGAGAGAACCTGGTAAAGCTGAGGGGACGCAGAATCGAGGACAAATCGTGATACGGTGCCGTGCGGTTCGGTACGTTAAGTCTGCGATGAGATGCGGTTTTTCTTTTCCACACAGAATTGTGGTGCGGCTGCTGGTTGGTTTGATTTGTGAGAATTTGGATCAACCAGTGTACGGAATTTGTTGCCAGATTATCCTGCTAGAAAAGAGTGGCAAAGATACGGTACGTTTGAATATATTTTGCCAAAGAAAATGGTATGATGGGCATTAAAACTGCTAATACCATAAAGCAACCGGTCCTTTGTCTGCTGTTGAAGAGGGTTGTTTAAGCACCACTAGTACTAGCTATTGAGGCATTGAGAGAGTTCATTCAGCTGCTATCTTGGTTGATGCAGTGCCAAACATGGGTAAAATAACTATGCACAGGCAAAAAGCACCAAGACACATACAGACTGGCAAGCGCATGCCAGATATATCCTAAGCAAATACTGAGCTCAGTTCCGCGTGGAACCCATTATACAGGTGAATGGCTGGGGAAAAATGGTGAAGCATCTTCGAGCTTGACCAGCAGTTGTCTGCCGTCACCTCAAGAAGTTAGTCTCGCGATGCCTGGAAAATTTCGCGGACGTCCATTCAGCGTGAACCTACATCGTGTGAGCATTAACTAGTAATCTTGCTGAGCGAAGCCGTCAGCGTCAAAACCTGACAAGAAAGGGGGAGAAAGGGAGCCTGAGTAACGCCATTCACGAGCATTGAGCAGCACGAAAGTCGCTTCGGCATACATATTGGTGTCAACGTTAGCAAGCCCTCAAAACCGACTTACTGTGTATTTGTTGGAGGCCAGCAGCAACCACCACCACCACGGCGCACCATGACGAGAACGCGATGGCTCCCACGGCGGCCACGCACTTCACAAGCACTACTCCTGGAACGACGCCTCCTAACACCATTGCTCCGACATCCCACATCTGACCGGATTCGAAAACCGAGCTCTTCTTGCTCGTGCTGAAAGGCTGGAGTGTAGAGACTGGCTCCATTCTGGCAAGTGCGATATAACTCTAGAGAAGCAAACAAAAATAAGCAGTCTTAACGAATTCGGAGCAGGGTAGGTGTCAGCACTCCTCAAAACCTAATCGGTACGCCATTGGGAGACGTTAGATCCGCCTAGTTTGGGACCTATCCCTTTCTGAGAAGTCCAAATATAGAAAGAGCGAGTCCCTGACCTCAAGGGCTTGAAAGCACGGCTTTCAGCTCGTGGATGCAGATCAATGGTTTGCCTGAAACACAGAATGTGCAGATTGATCAGATGTGTGTGACAGAGAAAGGTGAGGTGTTTTTATGAAGCCAGTTTGAAAGGTGAGTTGGGAGTTCGTGTGATGGAAGTAGGGATTGTGGGTAGGGAGGAGTTTGTGGGGGCTGCCACTGGTAGGCTGGACTCAACAATTGGGTACAACTGGGGTTGTTCCCGTTACAGTATAGTGTTTGGAAGTGCGAGGTTGGAAACGGTATAGTTGGAGGTGTTGGACACGGTACGGTGTGTTAGCCTGAATTTCGTCCTCCAGCCCAGCCCAAACAATTGTGGAAACGCGGCGCGGGTCTACGGATAGTGCGAGTGGGCTGCTGTCAAATGTGTGTGACACGTGACGCGACACGGTTGTGTGAGCGAAGGTTGAAGCTTGCAGATATCACGGCTCGGTTCTTCCTGAATTACCGGCGCATATTCAGTCATTCACCCCAAGCTGTCAGTGTCGGCTGCCAACGCGGTCTGTGATGAAGTCATACAGTAAGTGGACGACAAACAATTGGAAAGCGCCAGCTGGATCATTAAAACTTCACCACGCACGGCACGAGCCACGTCAATCATCACCATAGTGACGTGCTGTTACGGGTGTGATGGGTGAAGGAGCAGTCATGCAATGGCATGGGCTGCTCACTGTGCAAACAAAATCCGCTAGAATATCAGCCGCACTAAGGCTCATGGAGGCGAGGGGGTTTCACAAAACAAATTTCACTTAAAAAGAATCAACGCACCAATCAAACCGCCCACTCTCCATTCATGGTCTGTAAGTAAACGGCATGTCCTTCGGGCCTAGGCCCCTAATTCGGTGCCTTTGCCGACCAATAATAAACCGCCACGTATCATATTCATCTGCAGGCTCAAGATCAACAGGTTGAGGCACTCTCCAGCCAATGGGGTACATGTGTTGCCGATTCGCCTCCACATGGAGGTGCCACACCAGCACTTGCGTGCACCCGTTTGCTAGTGGCTCCAAGTAACTCGCATCCGGAACCAACCGGCTCAAAAACGTCGCTTCCAATTGGCTGCTTACATACATTGTCAGTACCAAGAATCACAACCAAGAAGCAGAGTAACAAGACAGAAATATTAGGTTTGCCTTACAAGGTGGAAACTCACAAGTGGCACATCCGGGCAAGTGGCATGTGGAACATAGAAACGGGGGCAGGGAGGGAAGGACGGAGGTGGTGGGGGAGGGGGCGCAAAGGGGGAAGGGGACGCTGAGGGGGAAGGGAGGAGGCAGGGCAAGGGGCAGGGAGGGGGCAGGGAAGTGGCAGGGAGGGGAGGGGGCAGGCAGGGGGCAGGGCAGGGGGCAGGGAAGGGGCAGGGAGGGTGCACTGAAGGGGCAGGGAGGGGGTAACAAACATGTACTAGTTATGGCGCGGACTGACCCTTGCCAGCTGGCTTCGAAGCGGAGCGGGTGGTGAGGGTAGCCCGGCAGGTCTGTGCGGTTGTGCCAGAGCAGCTCAGAGCTGAGAGAAGGGGAGAGGGGGGGTGAGAAGCAGGAGGGGAGGAAAAGAAAACGGGTGTGCAAAGTGTGGGCGGTGCTGGTAGCCCGGCAGGTCTTACATGCCTTACTCCATGCGTGAATACATGCCTTACTCCATGCGTGAATACATGCCTTACTCCATGCGTGAATACATGCCTTACTCCATGCGTGAATACATGCCTTACTCCATGCGTGAATACATGCCTTACTCCATGCGTGAATACATGCCTTACTCCATGCGTGAATACATGCCTTACTCCATGCGTGAATACATGCCTTACTCCATGCGTGAATACATGCCTTACTCCATGCGTGAATACATGCCTTACTCCATGCGTGAATACATGCCTTACTCCATGCGTGAATACATGCCTTACTCCATGCGTGAATACATGCCTTACTCCATGCGTGAATACATGCCTTACTCCATGCGTGAATACATGCCTTACTCCATGCGTGAATACATGCCTTACTCCATGCGTGAATACATGCCTTACTCCATGCGTGAATACATGCCTTACTCCATGCGTGAATACATGCCTTACTCCATGCGTGAATACATGCCTTACTCCATGCGTGAATACATGCCTTACTCCATGCGTGAATACATGCCTTACTCCATGCGTGAATACATGCCTTACTCCATGCGTGAATACATGCCTTACTCCATGCGTGAATACATGCCTTACTCCATGCGTGAATACATGCCTTACTCCATGCGTGAATACATGCCTTACTCCATGCGTGAATACATGCCTTACTCCATGCGTGAATACATGCCTTACTCCATGCGTGAATACATGCCTTACTCCATGCGTGAATACATGCCTTACTCCATGCGTGAATACATGCCTTACTCCATGCGTGAATACATGCCTTACTCCATGCGTGAATACATGCCTTACTCCATGCGTGAATACATGCCTTACTCCATGCGTGAATACATGCCTTACTCCATGCGTGAATACATGCCTTACTCCATGCGTGAATACATGCCTTACTCCATGCGTGAATACATGCCTTACTCCATGCGTGAATACATGCCTTACTCCATGCGTGAATACATGCCTTACTCCATGCGTGAATACATGCCTTACTCCATGCGTGAATACATGCCTTACTCCATGCGTGAATACATGCCTTACTCCATGCGTGAATACATGCCTTACTCCATGCGTGAATACATGCCTTACTCCATGCGTGAATACATGCCTTACTCCATGCGTGAATACATGCCTTACTCCATGCGTGAATACATGCCTTACTCCATGCATGAATACATGCCTTACTCCATGCGTGAATACATGCCTTACTCCATGCGTGAATACATGCCTTACTCCATGCGTGAATGCATGCCTTACTCCATGCGTGAATACATGCCTTACTCCATGCGTGAATGCATGCCTTACTCCATGCGTGAATACATGCCTTACTCCATGCGTGAATGCATGCCTTACTCCATGCGTGAATGCATGCCTTACTCCATGCGTGAATACATGCCTTACTCCATGCGTGAATGCATGCCTTACTCCATGCGTGAATGCATGCCTTACTCCATGCGTGAATGCATGCCTTACTCCATGCGTGAATGCATGCCTTACTCCATGCGTGAATACATGCCTTACTCCATGCGTGAATGCATGCCTTACTCCATGCGTGAATGCATGCCTTACTCCATGCGTGAATGCATGCCTTACTCCATGCGTGAATACATGCCTTACTCCATGCGTGAATACATGCCTTACTCCATGCGTGAATACATGCCTTACTCCATGCGTGAATACATGCCTTACTCCATGCGTGAATACATGCCTTACTCCATGCGTGAATACATGCCTTACTCCATGCGTGAATACATGCCTTACTCCATGCGTGAATACATGCCTTACTCCATGCGTGAATACATGCCTTACTCCATGCGTGAATACATGCCTTACTCCTTACGTACACATGCCGTGCCCACATTTAATATGCGCTTGGCCTTGGAGATGACACCACTCAAACGCCTCCCACCCATACCCCTGCAGGCTCCCGCTCTCCATCCCCATCCATCCCCATTACAAGCAGCCTCTCTACCATCCATGTAGAAAGCTCACCGGAACGCGAACCCTCCCATGTCGACATTGAATTTCCGCTTGGCCTTGGAGATGAACCACTCAAACGTCTCCCACCCATACACCTGCAGCCCTCCGCTCTCCGTCCTCCTTACAAGTGGCCTCTCTACCATGGGCGTGTGGTGTATATGCCTGTTCCGCCTGGAGTACTCGTCCGGGTAGAGGAAGCCGACGGGGAAAACACCCACGTTTTGGATGCTCTGAAACTCGAGAAAGAGCTGGGTTTGTGGAAAAGCACATGAGGTTGGAAACAAAAGCGTGAATAGGAGGCAGAATGGAGTGAACGAGTAACGTTCCTCGAACAGGAGAACGGTGTTTTGGGAGAGAATAAAACCAGGCCGAACTCAACCAGCAAAAGCACAATGAAAAAAAAAAAAAAAATCACGGAAAAAAAAATATTTTCAGGTTCGGAAATATGTATAAATATATTTATATAACAATGAGGCTTTAGGGTTATTATTCTAAACGATTGTACCCAGTGAGGGCTGGACTCCACTCCTCCTATTCTCCTGGAATCACTGACTCTGCAATACCAATTTCGCAGTTCACCCTATTCTCATTATAGTCACTTCACTTAACACTCACAAGACATTACAGTTACTTAGCATTACAGCCACACCTGAGGGAGGTAGGCGTTGTCATCATCCATGAAGTACACAACGCCCCGAATGCGCCTCTCCTCTTGCAGATGCACTCTCACTTGCAAGGACTTACCTGAGGGAGGTAAGCGTTGTCGTCATACATGAAATACACGACGACCTGAATGCGCCTCTCCTCTTGCAGATGCACCCTCACTTGCAAGGACTTACCTGAGGGAGGTAAGCGTTGTCGTCATACATGAAATACACGACGACCTGAATGCGCCTCTCCTCTTGCAGATGCACCCTCACTTGCAAGGACTTACCTGAGGGAGGTAAGCGTTGTCGTCATACATGAAATACACGACGACCTGAATGCGCCTCTCCTGAATGCAGCCAACATGCGGCAATCAAATTGACTCACAACAGAATACAAGTTAACCGCACCTGAGGGAGGTACGCGTTGTCATCGTCCATTAAGAAAACGACGCCCTGAATGCGCCTCTCCACTTGAGACACATGGCAGTACGATCAGAGCTAGCAGTACTACAATTCAACCGCACCTGAGGGAGGTAGGCGTTGTCATCATCCATAAAGTAAACGACGCCCTGAATGCGCCTCTCCTGAATGAAGTCGAGAGCGGCGTTGCGCTGCAGCACTGCCTTGTTCCACTTGGACGTCTCCATCTGATGATGATGATGACGCATGGGACGGGATGGCATGGCATGGAATGATGATAGGCGTGTGTGGAATGGTAAGCACGTGAGAATGGAAGCTTGGGGGAATTGTTGACAATGCTGCAGCACTGCTTTGTTCCACTTGGGCATCCCCACCTGATGGTGATGATGGTGCATGCAACGGAATGGAAGGGCGACAGGTAACTGGAGGTGCTGTGCTGGCTGTGCAACACCAGTTGCCTGTTGTCGCTCTTTAGGGATCAAGCAGCCACAATGAAGATTCATGACTTTTGAGACTTAAAAAAAACAGCCTAACAGAGATGCATGCAAGCAGTGACGAGAGCGTGAAAAATGAAAGCGTATTCGATTCACGACAAAGTGCCGTAGCCACCTGGTTATGAACGCATGCAGCAACGATGATGACGCATGCAACCATAGAAGTAAAACGAAACATGTGCTGTGCATGCATACACATTCACACACACACACACACACACACACACACACACACACACACACACACACACACACACACACACACACACGCACACACACACACACACGCGCGCGCGCGCACGCACACAACTGAAAACAAGCCACAGCCAGAGCATCCATATCAGCACAACCACCACTGACCCGGCGGGTTTCCAGGTGGACGTAGTTGATTTGCTGACAGCTGGCATCGCCAGCGGGCAAACACGCCCCCGCGTGCTGCCTCAGCAGCTCCGCCGTCTCCTCTGTCTTCCCGGGGAGGCATGGGGGCAGGTAGAGAGGTGTGGGAAGGGATGGCGAGGGGTGGACAGGTGTTGAGAGGGATTAACAGGGGTGGAAAGGGATGAAAAGGTTCCTTGTAAATTTTACTCAGAGCAGCCACGCGTGCTGCCTCAGCAGCTCCGCTGCCTCCTCTGTCTTCCCGGTGAGGCATGGGAGAAGGGGGTTGACAGGGGTGGAGAGGGTTTGAAGAGGGTTCAGGAGGGAAGACAGGGGTGAAGAGGGGTTTAACGGGAGGTGAGAGGGCGGACAGGGGTCGACATGGGTGGAGAGGTGAAGTCGGCAGCTGGCGTGCACGCCCCTGCATGCTGCTTCAGCAGCTCCGCAGTCTCCTCTGTCTCCGGGGAGGCATGAGCAGAGGGTGGTGAGGGGTTGAAATGAAAGGGGGTTGAGAGGGTGGACAGGGGTAAAGACGTGTGACGAGGTTCAAATAGAAAGGGTTAGAGAAGATTCCTTTTAAAGGACTAAAAAAAAAAAAAAAAAAACGTGTGGCGCCTCAGCAGGTCTGCTCTCTCCTTCCAAAGGGGCATGGGGAAAGGGGTGGAGTGGGTTGGAAAGGTGTGGAATCCTTTAGGCGTCAACCAGAAACACTATAAAAATCAAAAGATTTCTAATAGATCTCCCTCTTTTGAAGAGAAGGAAAAGGACACAAACGAACTAAAATAAATAAATAAAAACTTAATAATTAAACAGGGGGAAAAAAAAGGTCTCTATTTCTTTCAGAATCTGCTAAAAGCGCTGCACCTTACATGGTTGAAGCACCTGACGCGTTTTCTTCCAAGGTTCAGCCCAAGGACTTACCTTAAGAGGCGCCTCTATGACTATCCAGAGCACCAGCGGTCCCAGCGAGCGCAGAAAGGCGGCCAGGCGGATGAAGTAAACCACCTGGTAGGGGGGGGGACAGCGGGGAGGGGGAGGGAAGAGGGGAGAGGGGAGAGGCGAGGGGGGAGAGGGGAGAGGGGAGAGGCGAGGGGGGGAATGGGATTGGCTGGCTGCCAAAAAAAAGCAGATAGGCGGCCAGGCGGATGAAGTAGACCACCTGGTGTGGGAGCGGAGGGGGGGGGAATGGGAGAGAGAGAGGGGGAAAAAAGGGAACGGATGGAGAAAGGGGGAAAGTAAGAAGAATGGGAGAGGGGAGGGAGAAGGGGGACGGATAGGCGGTCAGGCGGATGAAGCAGACCATCTGGTGGGGGGGAGAGAGGGGTAGGGGAATGGAGGGAAGGAGGAAGCAGAAGGGGAGAGGGGAGGGGGAAGGGGGAGGGACACCAGTGGTCCATGCGAGCTCAAATAGGCGGCCAACGAAAGAAGCAAACCATCTGTGTTAGAATTATATGTTCTAGCATGCCAACACTTGTGACTGTACACCAATTGTGGTGTACAGTTGGGTTGGGACTACACCCAACTTTGGGTGTAGTCTTGCATTGTGGGGTGACAATACAACCCTATTGTGTTGGAGCCCCCACATGCAACCCACTTGGCTCTAGGTTGCCTCACTTCCCAAAGTGAGGCCAACCCAGCCCAAGTGGGCCTAGGGTTGCCACACTTCCACAAAGTGAGGTCAACCCAACCTATGGCCAACCCATCTCTTCTCTTCCAAGCTTCTCATCCAACCTATGTATGATTGTTTCTTCTCTAATCCCATTATTGGTTCAACTTAAGTTTTCACAACCTGGTGCAGGGGAGAGAGGAAGGAGGGGGGAGGAGTGGAAGGAGGGGGGAGGAGTGGAAGGAGGGAGAGGGACGGGAAGTGGATAAGAGTAATGGCTCTAAGAGCGCAGCGCAGATAGGCGGCCAGGCGAATGAAGCAAACCATCTGGTCGGGGGGAGAGGGGGAGACGGAAAAAGGGGGGAGGGGTTGGGGGGGAATGGAGAGGGGAAATGGGAGAGGGAAGGTGAGGGGAAGGGAAGGGGCGACGGGAGGAATACAGGGATGGGAGCGCAGAGGCGGATGGGGGGAATGGGGGAGAGAAGGGACAGGGATGGGAGCGCAGAGGCGGATGGGGGGAATGGGGGAGAGAAGGGACAGGGAAGGGAGCGCAGAGGCGGATGGGGGGAATGGGGGAGAGAAGGGACAGGGAAGGGAGCGCAGAGGCGGATGGGGGGAATGGGGGAGAGAAGGGACAGGGAAGGGAGCGCAGAGGCGGATGGGGGGAATGGGGGAGAGAAGGGACAGGGAAGGGAGCGCAGAGGCGGATGGGGGGAATGGGGGAGAGAAGGGACAGGGAAGGGAGCGCAGAGGCGGATGGGGGGAATGGGGGAGAGAAGGGACAGGGAAGGGAGCGCAGAGGCGGATGGGGGGAATGGGGGAGAGAAGGGACAGGGAAGGGAGCGCAGAGGCGGATGGGGGGAATGGGGGAGAGAAGGGACAGGGAAGGGAGCGCAGAGGCGGATGGGGGGAATGGGGGAGAGAAGGGACAGGGAAGGGAGCGCAGAGGCGGATGGGGGGAATGGGGGAGAGAAGGGACAGGGAAGGGAGCGCAGAGGCGGATGGGGGGAATGGGGGAGAGAAGGGACAGGGAAGGGAGCGCAGAGGCGGATGGGGGGAATGGGGGAGAGAAGGGACAGGGAAGGGAGCGCAGAGGCGGATGGGGGGAATGGGGGAGAGAAGGGACAGGGAAGGGAGCGCAGAGGCGGATGGGGGGAATGGGGGAGAGAAGGGACAGGGAAGGGAGCGCAGAGGCGGATGGGGGGAATGGGGGAGAGAAGGGACAGGGAAGGGAGCGCAGAGGCGGATGGGGGGAATGGGGGAGAGAAGGGACAGGGAAGGGAGCGCAGAGGCGGATGGGGGGAATGGGGGAGAGAAGGGACAGGGAAGGGAGCGCAGAGGCGGATGGGGGGAATGGGGGAGAGAAGGGACAGGGAAGGGAGCGCAGAGGCGGATGGGGGGAATGGGGGAGAGAAGGGACAGGGAAGGGAGCGCAGAGGCGGATGGGGGGAATGGGGGAGAGAAGGGACAGGGAAGGGAGCGCAGAGGCGGATGGGGGGAATGGGGGAGAGAAGGGACAGGGAAGGGAGCGCAGAGGCGGATGGGGGGAATGGGGGAGAGAAGGGACAGGGAAGGGAGCGCAGAGGCGGATGGGGGGAATGGGGGAGAGAAGGGACAGGGAAGGGAGCGCAGAGGCGGATGGGGGGAATGGGGGAGAGAAGGGACAGGGAAGGGAGCGCAGAGGCGGATGGGGGGAATGGGGGAGAGAAGGGACAGGGAAGGGAGCGCAGAGGCGGATGGGGGGAATGGGGGAGAGAAGGGACAGGGAAGGGAGCGCAGAGGCGGATGGGGGGAATGGGGGAGAGAAGGGACAGGGAAGGGAGCGCAGAGGCGGATGGGGGGAATGGGGGAGAGAAGGGACAGGGAAGGGAGCGCAGAGGCGGATGGGGGAATGGGGGAGAGAAGGGACAGGGAAGGGAGCGCAGAGGCGGATGGGGGGAATGGGGGAGAGAAGGGACAGGGAAGGGAGCGCAGAGGCGGATGGGGGGAATGGGGGAGAGAAGGGACAGGGAAGGGAGCGCAGAGGCGGATGGGGGGAATGGGGGAGAGAAGGGACAGGGAAGGGAGCGCAGAGGCGGATGGGGGGAATGGGGGAGAGAAGGGACAGGGAAGGGAGCGCAGAGGCGGATGGGGGGAATGGGGGAGAGAAGGGACAGGGAAGGGAGCGCAGAGGCGGATGGGGGGAATGGGGGAGAGAAGGGACAGGGAAGGGAGCGCAGAGGCGGATGGGGGGAATGGGGGAGAGAAGGGACAGGGAAGGGAGCGCAGAGGCGGATGGGGGGAATGGGGGAGAGAAGGGACAGGGAAGGGAGCGCAGAGGCGGATGGGGGGAATGGGGGAGAGAAGGGACAGGGAAGGGAGCGCAGAGGCGGATGGGGGGAATGGGGGAGAGAAGGGACAGGGAAGGGAGCGCAGAGGCGGATGGGGGGAATGGGGGAGAGAAGGGACAGGGAAGGGAGCGCAGAGGCGGATGGGGGGAATGGGGGAGAGAAGGGACAGGGAAGGGAGCGCAGAGGCGGATGGGGGGAATGGGGGAGAGAAGGGACAGGGAAGGGAGCGCAGAGGCGGATGGGGGGAATGGGGGAGAGAAGGGACAGGGAAGGGAGCGCAGAGGCGGATGGGGGGAATGGGGGAGAGAAGGGACAGGGAAGGGAGCGCAGAGGCGGATGGGGGGAATGGGGGAGAGAAGGGACAGGGAAGGGAGCGCAGAGGCGGATGGGGGGAATGGGGGAGAGAAGGGACAGGGAAGGGAGCGCAGAGGCGGATGGGGGGAATGGGGGAGAGAAGGGACAGGGATGGGAGCGCAGAGGCGGATGGGGGGAATGGGGGAGAGAAGGGACAGGGAAGGGAGCGCAGAGGCGGATGGGGGGAATGGGGGAGAGAAGGGACAGGGAAGGGAGCGCAGAGGCGGATGGGGGGAATGGGGGAGAGAAGGGACAGGGAAGGGAGCGCAGAGGCGGATGGGGGGAATGGGGGAGAGAAGGGACAGGGAAGGGAGCGCAGAGGCGGATGGGGGGAATGGGGGAGAGAAGGGACAGGGAAGGGAGCGCAGAGGCGGATGGGGGGAATGGGGGAGAGAAGGGACAGGGAAGGGAGCGCAGAGGCGGATGGGGGGAATGGGGGAGAGAAGGGACAGGGAAGGGAGCGCAGAGGCGGATGGGGGGAATGGGGGAGAGAAGGGACAGGGAGGGAGCGCAGAGGCGGATGGGGGGAATGGGGGAGAGAAGGGACAGGGAAGGGAGCGCAGAGGCGGATGGGGGGAATGGGGGAGAGAAGGGACAGGGAAGGGAGCGCAGAGGCGGATGGGGGGAATGGGGGAGAGAAGGGACAGGGAAGGGAGCGCAGAGGCGGATGGGGGGAATGGGGGAGAGAAGGGACAGGGAAGGGAGCGCAGAGGCGGATGGGGGGAATGGGGGAGAGAAGGGACAGGGAAGGGAGCGCAGAGGCGGATGGGGGGAATGGGGGAGAGAAGGGACAGGGAAGGGAGCGCAGAGGCGGATGGGGGGAATGGGGGAGAGAAGGGACAGGGAAGGGAGCGCAGAGGCGGATGGGGGGAATGGGGGAGAGAAGGGACAGGGAAGGGAGCGCAGAGGCGGATGGGGGGAATGGGGGAGAGAAGGGACAGGGAAGGGAGCGCAGAGGCGGATGGGGGGAATGGGGGAGAGAAGGGACAGGGAAGGGAGCGCAGAGGCGGATGGGGGGAATGGGGGAGAGAAGGGACAGGGAAGGGAGCGCAGAGGCGGATGGGGGGAATGGGGGAGAGAAGGGACAGGGAAGGGAGCGCAGAGGCGGATGGGGGGAATGGGGGAGAGAAGGGACAGGGAAGGGAGCGCAGAGGCGGATGGGGGGAATGGGGGAGAGAAGGGACAGGGAAGGGAGCGCAGAGGCGGATGGGGGGAATGGGGAGAGAAGGGACAGGGAAGGGAGCGCAGAGGCGGATGGGGGGAATGGGGGAGAGAAGGGACAGGGAAGGGAGCGCAGAGGCGGATGGGGGGGGGGAATGGGGGAGAGAAGGGACAGGGAAGGGAGCGCAGAGGCGGATGGGGGAGAATGGGGGAGAGAAGGGACAGGGAAGGGAGCGCAGAGGCGGATGGGGGAATGGGGGAGAGAAGGGACAGGGAAGGGAGCGCAGAGGCGGATGGGGGGAATGGGGGAGAGAAGGGACAGGGAAGGGAGCGCAGAGGCGGATGGGGGGAATGGGGGAGAGAAGGGACAGGGAAGGGAGCGCAGAGGCGGATGGGGGGAATGGGGGAGAGAAGGGACAGGGAAGGGAGCGCAGAGGCGGATGGGGGGGAATGGGGGAGAGAAGGGACAGGGAAGGGAGCGCAGAGGCGGATGGGGGGAATGGGGGAGAGAAGGGACAGGGAAGGGAGCGCAGAGGCGGATGGGGGGAATGGGGGAGAGAAGGGACAGGGAAGGGAGCGCAGAGGCGGATGGGGGGAATGGGGGAGAGAAGGGACAGGGAAGGGAGCGCAGAGGCGGATGGGGGGAATGGGGGAGAGAAGGGACAGGGAAGGGAGCGCAGAGGCGGATGGGGGGAATGGGGGAGAGAAGGGACAGGGAAGGGAGCGCAGAGGCGGATGGGGGGAATGGGGGAGAGAAGGGACAGGGAAGGGAGCGCAGAGGCGGATGGGGGGAATGGGGGAGAGAAGGGACAGGGAAGGGAGCGCAGAGGCGGATGGGGGGAATGGGGGAGAGAAGGGACAGGGAAGGGAGCGCAGAGGCGGATGGGGGGAATGGGGGAGAGAGAGGGACAGGGAAGGGAGCGCAGAGGCGGATGGGGGGAATGGGGGAGAGAAGGGACAGGGAAGGGAGCGCAGAGGCGGATGGGGGGACTGGGGGAGAGAAGGGACAGGGAAGGGAGCGCAGAGGCGGATGGGGGAATGGGGGAGAGAAGGGACAGGGAAGGGAGCGCAGAGGCGGATGGGGGAATGGGGGAGAGAAGGGACAGGGAAGGGAGCGCAGAGGCGGATGGGGGGAATGGGGGAGAGAAGGGACAGGGAAGGGAGCGCAGAGGCGGATGGGGGGAATGGGGGAGAGAAGGGACAGGGAAGGGAGCGCAGAGGCGGATGGGGGGAATGGGGGAGAGAAGGGACAGGGAAGGGAGCGCAGAGGCGGATGGGGGGAATGGGGGAGAGAAGGGACAGGGAAGGGAGCGCAGAGGCGGATGGGGGGAATGGGGGAGAGAAGGGACAGGGAAGGGAGCGCAGAGGCGGATGGGGGGAATGGGGGAGAGAAGGGACAGGGAAGGGAGCGCAGAGGCGGATGGGGGGACTGGGGGAGAGAAGGGACAGGGAAGGGAGCGCAGAGGCGGATGGGGGGAATGGGGGAGAGAAGGGACAGGGAAGGGAGCGCAGAGGCGGATGGGGGGAATGGGGGGAGAGAAGGGACAGGGAAGGGAGCGCAGAGGCGGATGGGGGGAATGGGGGAGAGAAGGGACAGGGACAGGGAGGGAGCGCAGAGGCGGATGGGGGGAATGGGGGAGAGAAGGGACAGGGAAGGGAGCGCAGAGGCGGATGGGGGGAATGGGGGAGAGAAGGGACAGGGAAGGGAGCGCAGAGGCGGATGGGGGGAATGGGGGAGAGAAGGGACAGGGAAGGGAGCGCAGAGGCGGATGGGGGGACTGGGGGAGAGAAGGGACAGGGAAGGGAGCGCAGAGGCGGATGGGGGGAATGGGGGAGAGAAGGGACAGGGAAGGGAGCGCAGAGGCGGATGGGGGGAATGGGGGAGAGAAGGGACAGGGAAGGGAGCGCAGAGGCGGATGGGGGGAATGGGGGAGAGAAGGGACAGGGAAGGGAGCGCAGAGGCGGATGGGGGGAATGGGGGAGAGAAGGGACAGGGAAGGGAGCGCAGAGGCGGATGGGGGGAATGGGGGAGAGAAGGGACAGGGAAGGGAGCGCAGAGGCGGATGGGGGGAATGGGGGAGAGAAGGGACAGGGAAGGGAGCGCAGAGGCGGATGGGGGGAATGGGGGAGAGAAGGGACAGGGAAGGGAGCGCAGAGGCGGATGGGGGGAATGGGGGAGAGAAGGGACAGGGAAGGGAGCGCAGAGGCGGATGGGGGGAATGGGGGAGAGAAGGGACAGGGAAGGGAGCGCAGAGGCGGATGGGGGGAATGGGGGAGAGAAGGGACAGGGAAGGGAGCGCAGAGGCGGATGGGGGGACTGGGGGAGAGAAGGGACAGGGATGGGAGCGCATGGTTCACGCGTGGGTGGGACGGCCAGCAACAGCCACCTGTTGGCATGACCAGGGGATCCAGCGCGGGCACATGGTATTGAACCCACCTGCATGGATGTTCTGAGGCGCCTTATAGAGAGACGTTTGAGCCACCCACCTGCATGGCGCGCGCGTGGGTGGGTGTGACGGCGAGCAGCGGCCACTTGATCCCCTCGGGCTTCACCGCACGCATGTACATGGCGATCCAGAGCCAGCATAGGGGGTTTCAACCAGCGCGGCTGTTCTGAGGCGCCTTATAGCGAGTCGATAAGCCACCCACCTGCATGGCTCGAGAAAGCCACCCACCTGCATGGCGCGCGCGTGGGTGGGTGTGACGGCGAGCAACGGCCACTTGATCCCTTCGGCCTTCACCGCACGCTGCAGCGCCAATACCGGGTCCTCTGCCGCGTCGACCTGGTTACCAGTCGGGTTACTAATCTGGTTACTACCGGCGTCTTGTGTATTATCTCTTGACGGAGGGGGACGGACTGCCATGCCTGGGATCTGGAAGCCGTTAGGTTCTGGCGATCGGACGGCTGGGGATTGATCTGGTTGCGAGGTATTCGGAGTGGTTGGAACGGCTGCCAATGGTTGTGATTGTAACGAGGGTTCGTTGAGCAACGAGGAGGGAGACGACGACGAGGACGATGGTGATGAGGAAGATGTGCTTGTATCGGAAGGGATATTAGTGGAGGAGGAGGAGGAGGAGGAGGAAGAGGAGGAAGAGGAGGAGGAAGAAGACGTGACTGGCGACGACGACGCAGCTCGCGAAGAATCGTCGCGCAACCGCTCGCCAAAACTCGTGAAGTTCGCGAATTCGTCGCTGGCGGGCGAGACGAGGTTGGTGGTGCGATTGACGAATCGGAGGCCCGAGAGGAGCATCGCGCCGCCCAGCGCGACCAGTAGCAGCCGGATTCGCCCCACGCGCCCCAGCGCTGCCGGCCGGCTCGCGACTCGACCCAATGGTGCGGGATTCATTGCTGAAACGCGCTCGAATGGGGTGGAACTCGCTCGGCCTGTAATCTACACCTAGAACCAAATTAACACTTGCATGAGAACAGTGGAAAGACTAAATAGGTAGCGTAGTCAGAAAGGCACTAGCGGCGCGACGATCCATGGCCGGAACGACCTTCGGGTTGATTAATTAGTCATCGTAAGGTGATTTTTAGAATTCTCAAAAACGCCATGCGCCTCATCCGCTGTGGGTGGCCGAACGCGCAGCAGAATAAAGCCCCTTCCGCTCGAATGACGGAGATTAACTAAGCCCGTCCCGCCGTGTTACCAGAGCGCGGATAGCATCCAGGCGAAGAATGAATAACGGCGAAGAATAAGGAATGGATTAATTCGACGGAAACCTTTCTCGATGCGAGAGACAAATTGGGATCAGAGAGATGGGATCGCAGGACGAACGACCCGCTGCCAGCAAGCACATCGGTGGTACTGCTGCGGGCAATGAGCTCGGCTGAAGTGCGGGTGGGATGAATCAGCAAGCCATGGCTGCCATGGCACCTTTGGGCCATAGCTTCTGTGAGTCGTTGGACAATGCTGGTTGACGAAGAATTGCGCATACTTGTGGTTACCGTGTCGTCAGTTTGTCGCAACGAGTGTTTCCAGCTTGCGAAAACCTAGCGAGCTCCAGAATTACTCTTGGCGAAGGGGCAACAGATTCTTCTGCGAACCTCGTCACATCCGAAGCGAAGACTTTTATTGGAATCCTATGTTACACAGAACCCTACTTGACCGCTCTAGAACCTTTATCATCCATCCAACCGTGATACTGCCATCCATAAACAAAGTACTCACTATCGAGGTAAGAGCTCCTCTGTTTCACGATCACAGCCAACGCCCCCCTCCATCCACTCCCTGTTCAGCAGCAGATTCGCGAAAAGCGCTTGCTGGAATTTTTTTCGCAACGGACTCTGCGACGGAAACGAAGGAGCGGTCGTTGTTGACTCTGCACGTCGGCGTTGCGGCAGGATCATGGCGGCGGCGCTGCGAGAATTGCAGCAGCAGCTGGAAGCAGAAGTGAACGCGCTTCGGTCCCTCGAGAAGGGTAAGCGCGAAGATTCCAATTTCTCCGCTGCACCTTCTGATTATCGCGTAACAATTCGGAACAAAACGATTCGGATCGCCGTTTTCCGGTTTCTGATGGAATCTCGACCGTAGATCAGCATTATTTATTTTCGGGGCGAGGAGATTCCCGTGGCTCACCTTGTCGTCTTCACAGACGACACGCGGAATGAAATTCTGCAAGATGCATCACAGCGTACAGCTCCCCTCCGCCATCTTTCCCCCCCTCTCTCCCCCCAAGCCCTTCCCCTCTCCCCCTTCCCCTCTCCCCCGTCCCTCTCTCCCCGTCCGTCTCTCGCCCGTCCCGCTCTCCCCCGTCCTCCTCTCCCCCGTCCCTCTCTCCCCCGTCCGCCTTCCTCCTCCGCCAATCCTCGCCCTTTCCCCGCCTTCCCCTGTCGCGTGCAGACATTGCGCGGAACCATAAGGAGCAGAGGCAGTGCAGCGGGCAGCTGAGACCTGTTGGAAAGACACCTCTAGCATCCCCCCGCTCTCCCCTCGCTTCCTCCCCACCTCCACCTCTGACCCTCCCCCTCTCCCTCCCACTCCCATTCCCCCTCCCCCTCCCCCTCCCTCTCCCCCTCCCCCTCCCGCTCCCCCTCCCTCCCCCTTCCCCTCCCCCTTCTCCCCACGTGTAGACATATCGCGCAACCACAAGGTGCGGCAGCAGTACAGCCTGCAGCTGAGGCCTGTCGACGAGACACCTCTGTTACCCTCCTCCCCGCTCCCCCCTCACTTCTCCTCCTCCCTTCCCACGGCAGATATTTCGCGCAACCACAAGGTGCGGCGGCAGTACAGCGTGCAGCTGAACGAGAACGAGATGGTGCAGAAGGTGTGTATGACTGTAGCGGACTGTGGTGTTGGGACTGTATTGGAGATGTGTTTATAATGAGTAGTGAGTGTACTAGGTGCTGAGCAGTACAGCCTGCAGCTGAACGAGAACGAAATGGTGCAGAAGGTGTGTGTGACTGTAGCGGATGGGATGGCAAATGTGGTGACAGCGGGATGTGGTTATAGCGGGATGTGGTTACAGTGGGATGTGGTTACAGCGGGATGTGATTATAATAGATGGTCAGGGCGAATGCCGTACACACGATATGCTGCATTGTGTGGCCTAAACTCGAGAGGAAGTATTGTGGGGTGTCACACGATGGTGCAGAAGGTGTGACTGTAACAGATTGTGGGGTTGGGGTGGGGGTTGGGGTTGGGGTTTATTTCGCGCTCCCACCTCTCCCTCCTCTCCCTTTCAGGAGGTGGAGCTATTAGAGGAAGACTCGAGGGGAGCTGGAGCTATTAGAGGAAGACTCGAGGGGATCTGGAGATATTAGAGGAAGACTCGAGGGGAGCTGGAGCTATTAGAGGAAGACTCGAGGGGAGCTGGAGCTATTAGAGGAATACTCGAGGGTGTTGAATCTCATCGGCCCTGCGCTCCCAGCTGCCCCTCTCCTCTGCGCTCCCAGCTGCCCCTCTCCTCTGCGCTTCAACCGCTCCTCCTACCCCCCTGCCCCACCCCTCCCTCTCCCTCCTCTCCCTTTCTTGAGGTAGAGTTATGAGAGGAAGACTCGAGGGTGTTGAAGCTCATCGGCCCTGTGCTTTTTGTGCCTCAACAACACCTCACCACCGCCCTCCCCTCCCCTCCTTGCCTCTCCGCCTTCCGAGTTGACTTTTGAGTCGACTCAAAAGTCAACAGGGTGTTGAAGCTCATCGGCCCTGTGCTTGTTGTGCCTCAACAACACCTCGCCACCGCCCTCCCCTCCTTGCCTCTCCGCCTTCCTCCTCACCAGGATTCGCTAGAGGGAGACGCAAAGGTGGTGTTCAAGCCCCGTGCTCGTGCCTCAAGACTTGAGACCCTTCAACCGCCCTTCAACCGCCCTTCAACCGCCCTTCAACCGCCCTTCAACCGCCCTTCAACCGCCCTTCAACCGCCCTTCAACCGCCCTTCAACCGCCCTTCAACCGCCCTTCAACCGCCCTTCAACCGCCCTTCAACCGCCCTTCAACCGCCCTTCAACCGCCCTTCAACCGCCCTTCAACCGCCCTTCACCTCTCCACTGTGCCTTCTCCCTGCCATCTCCTCTTCAGGAGCTGGATCGGCTAGAAGAAGATGCCAAGGGGTTCAAGCTAATCGGCCCCGTGCTCGTGCCTCGAGACCCTTCAACGGTCCCATCCTCTTTTCACCCCCACCTCTCCTCCCCGCCTCCCATTTTCTCCGCCTCTCCCATTCAGGAGCTGGATCTACTAGAGGAGGACGCCAAGGTCTCATCGGCCCCGTGCTCATCGGCCCTTTGCTCGTGCCTCAAGACCTTTCAACAGTCCCACCCCTCCTGCTCTGCCCCCCACCTCTCCTCTCTGCCTCCTCCCTTCTCCGCCTCTTTGCCTTTCAGGAGCTGGATCAGCTAGAAGAAGACGCCAGGGTGTGCAAGCTCGTCGGCCCTGTGCTCATGCCTCAACACCCGCATACACCCCTTCGCCACTCCACTTCAACCGCCCTCACCTCTCCTCTTATATCTTCTCATTCAGGAGCTGGAACTACTAGAGGAGGACGCCAAGGTGTTCAAGCTGATAGGCCCTGTGCTCGTGCCTCAGGACCTGGCAGAGGCGCGGGCCAACGTGAGGAAGCGGTTGGAGTACATATCCAGTGAAGTGTGAGTGAGTGTGTGTGTGTGTGTGTGTGTGTGAGAGAGAGAGAGAGAGAGAGAGAGAGAGAGAGTGCGTGTGTGCTAGTGGGGAGTTTGTGTGTGTATATCTGTGTGTGTTTGTGTGGGTGAGTGTGTGTGGGTACTGGTGGGGGATGTATATGTGTGCATGCATGCATGTTGCTGACGTTGCCATGTGTTCCCCACCCACTTGTGTTACATGCACTCACATACCTCTGTCCACGTACATGTATCTACATCCCTAAACATTGACATACACCTTCGTGCATGTAGGTACATATATCCACATATATCCACGTATATCCACATACATCCACATACATACACATGAATTTTCTTGGATCTCGATTC